CTCACAGTCCCCCCAGGCACATGGCAGGGCAGGGCAGCACGGCCTGAGGTCAGGGCAGTGGCACAGCAAGGATGGACCCAAATCGCTGGGCCAGGGGAGAGCTCGGGGAGAGCAGGGCCCATCTGGACACAGGAGCACATTGCCCTGGGGACAGCCCTGTGGATGGCTGGAGGTCTTCATGGATGCAGATTTCCCCTCCCGGCCTCTGGGAATGGGAATTTCACCATGATGTGGCTTATGTTGCTGCATCTTGTCCTGTCTTTGGTCTCCTCCTAGAAGACCTTGGCTTCGGCATCCTTCCAAACCTCCCCCCAGACAGTTGCACAAAGCAATGACACCCGCTTTGCCTTCCTTTCCCCAGACCACAACCCCAGCACTCACAGCATCTCCTCCTCGGTCCCAACCTCCAGCCCCTCAGCATCTCAGAGGTCTCTACTGAACTGCATCCAGAGAAAGGCATGTTTCAGAAGGGGCACTGAGTTGGGGACCAGCTGGGCACAGCTGGGCACATCTGGAAGCAGGCAGTTGCTGGGACAGGACTGGAGGTGTGCAGGGGTGCTGGTGGAGCACGGCATTGCAAGGTCACTCTCCATCATCTCTGCAAGAGCAAGGGAAGTCCTTCATCACTAGAGAAAGGCAAAAATCACAGCCAGCTTCAAAGAGGAGAGGAAGCAGGTTTGGAAGGCTAAGGGTTGAGCAGCTTCCACTCCATCCCCAGGAAGAAGATGGAGCACATCCTCCTGGGCACACAGTTGTCCAGTCCCAGGGAGAATACGGTGGTCGCTGGGGGAAGCCTGGTGGGATTTGCCAAGGGCAAGTGGTGCCAGCCCAACCTGCCTGCCTGCTTCTGTGGGAGCAATGGACTGGTGTTGAGGGAAGAGCAATGGGGGCAATTTAATCATGACCTTTTGAGGTGTGGGACATGGTCCTCTGTGGTCTCCTCGCTGGAAGAGTGGGGAGATGTGACCAGGAGAAGGGGAGAAAAGCAAGAGCTCACGCTGCAATGTGGAAACCCCTTTTAGGCATGAGGGCAAATATTTCTGCACAGCAGCAATGCTTAAATGCCGGAGCAGAGCACAGAGAGGGAGAATGTACATCCTGGATGGGGTCAGCACCAGAGCTACCTGTTACCACATGGAAGCTGGCATCGCTCTGTCCTGCCCCAGGGATTTGGGTCAATTCTCAGTAGGCTGAGCCCTCCAGCTCCGACCAGAGCCCCAACCCTGAGCTGCACCGCCCCACTGCCATCTCAGGGGACCCTGAGCAGTTTTGGGGCGTGGAAGAGGACAGGATGGTGACGCTGGGGCCAATGGCAGGGCGCAGGTCCTCGTGACTGTCTTTCCTGCTCCCCTCTGCCACACCTCACAGCAAACTTCTGCTTCTGCAGAAACCAGCCACACTTCTCCTTCGGAGCCCCAAGAGACAGGGACACTGCGGTGGAGAAGGAGCCATCAGGGCCATCGGGGCAGCCCAGGACATGGCCCAGAGTGTGGTCTACGCCGACCTGAAGTTTGCCGCGGTCCCCCCGCTCACTGCCCCTGCCTGCCCCACAGCCCCCCATGAGGATGACAGCCCCTACGAGAACGTGCCGCTGGGGTCGGTGCCTGCAGCACCCAGCCCAGGTGAGAGCTTTGCCGTGGCCACTGCTGCAGGGATGCCCTGGCACAGGGTGGGCACCGGGTGGTGGCAGTGGGACCACAGGTGGTGCCCATGGGTGCTCATCTCTTGCAGGGCACTGGCCCCGGCCTAGGCGCATCCCTATGGGACTGCTGGCAGCCAGCCTGCTGCTGCTGCTGGTGGCCACCGTGGCCCTGGGGGCTTGCTGTGAGTCACGGCGAGGGCCGCGGAGTGGGGGGCAGTTGGGGAAGGGGGCACCGGGAATCGGTTTGGGGCTGGGTGAGGGCTGGGCTGCTGGGGGGTTGTCAGGGCTGGGGGGTGCCAGGGGATGGTGGTCCAGGGCTGGTTGCTGCCTCTTGCATGGCCTCCCTGGGCTGGCCTCTGTCTCCTTGCATCACCTTCCCACTGGCTATCACCGCCTTCACTTTGCCTCGCACTGCTTTCACTTTCCTCTCTCTTTGCTCTCCTTCCCCTTGTGTTCATCTTCCCCTCCCCTCACCCTCCCCTTCCCTCCCACCGCCTCCTATTAAACTCCTTTTCCCTTCCCATTGCCTCCTATTGCCTTTCCATCACCTTCCCTTTGCCTTCCCTTTCCTACCCATTGCCTTCCATCGCCTCCCTTTGACATCCTTGGGGCTGCCTTGTCTTCTCCATGACCTGCCCCCCATCCCGAGCAGGGTCAGTCCCATGTCCCCCTGACCAGGCTGCCTGTGCCCCAGCTCACCCACCCTGTCCCCAGACTGGCAGGTCACCCGCAGCCTGCAGGACACCTCCCGTCAGCACGCAGCCGAGCAGGGCCGGCTCTCGCAGGAGGTGAGCGCACAGGAGCAGAGCCTGGAGCAGGCACAGCTGGAGCTGGCGTGGGCCAGAGCAGAGCTGCAGCGAACGTGGAGGGAGGGCAACAGCAGCCAGCTGGAGATGGGGAGCCTGAACGCTGAGCTGAGGAGCCGGGATGCTGAGCTGGGGCATGCCAGGCAGCAGCTGGCTGTGCTGGAGAAGCAGATACAGGAGGTGCGGGGGGAGCTCAGGGCCAGTGAGAGCGCTGTGAGCAGCCTGCGTGCGTGCGTGAACACAGGTAGGGTTGTGGTGGGGTGGTGGGATGGGCAGTGATGCTGCCGGGGAGATGCGGGGGCTGATCGCGGCCAGGCTGGGCCCCCCAAGCATCTGTGAGAAGGCAAGGGCCTGAACTGTGCCCCTGCCCCCAGATTGCTGCCCCTCGGGCTGGGTGCTCTACAGGGGCAAATGCCTCTTCATCTCGGTGTTGAAGAAGACATGGTGGGAAAGCCGTGATGACTGCAGACAGAAATCCGCTCAGCTGCTGGTCCAAGGCAACTGGCCATCCTGGACGCTGACGGTAACAAGA